GCCGTTGCTGTCACTGTGAGGTCGTCCATGAAGGCTCTTATGGGCAGTTGCCTTACTCCGGACTTACTGAGGGGACTTCTGCACTCTGTTTCAGCTGCCTTGACCAGCATATTCATCGCCAGCATTCACTGAGATGGTATAGCCAGTGATTATCCCCACCTCCAGCTGGTGCCAGTCAGATGTTAGCTGGCCAGTAGTGACTCTCAAGCTGAACTTGCTGTAATAGTCCAGGATGAGATCTTTCATCTTCTGCGGTACATGGTGTTTCTCCAGTGCGACCTTCACCAGCATGTGGGGTATTGAGCCATAGGCGTTGGTGAGGTCCAGCCACAGTACTGCCAGGTCCCCTCTACCTTCTCTCGCTTCCCTAATGAGCTGGGTTACCACGCCCGTGTGTTCCAGACAACCTGGAACTCCTGGTATACCTCCCTTTTGCACAGACGTGTCGATGTACTTATTGCTTAACAGGATGTTGGAGAACCTCTTAGCCACGATGCTAAAGAAGATGTTGCTCTCCACACTGAGCAAGGAGATAACCCGAAACTGGTTGATATTCTCAGACTTCTCTTCTTTTGGTATACACACTCCCTCAGCATACCTCCATGGCTGGGCGATCTGCCCTCTCATCCAGATCACCTTCTGGACCCTCCAAATCCAATGTAGTATTCCAGATCACCTTCTGGACCCTCCAAAGCAGATGTAGTATCTTTGGGCAGTTCTTATACACCTTGTAGGGCACTCCACTTGGGCCTGGTGCTGAGCTTGATCTTGCTCTCCTCACCACTTCCTCCACTTCCCTTAGGCAGGGCTCCTTCAGGTCGAAGTCTGATGGAGGCTCTGGTGGTGTTATCAGCACATCACATGGACCCAGCGGTTGTTCTCTAATGGGGTCACTATAAGTGGCCTTGAGGTGGCCATTTATAGCATCCTTGGAGCAAGTGAGGCGGCCAGCCCTCTTTTGGCCAAGGAGCTGCTTGGTCAACTTGAATGGATTGGCCAAGAATGCTCAAAGGTCAAGAGTTGTTTCCTTAGGATTGCTCTCAGGTCCGCTAGGCCGGCTCTCTCGACTTCCCCCTCTGACTTGTATTGCCTCTTTAGCAGCCCGAGTTCTTCCCTGAGGCACTGGATTTTCCTTGCTCTGTGGCTTGGAGCATATGCTGTTGGAGCAGGCTTGGATGCCTCAGTTCCAAATCGCTTAGCAGCAATGTTCACTATGAGGGTGGTTATTGTTCCCAATCGGTGGTCCACCTCCCCATTAGC